CCTACAATTTAAGGCAGATTGCTATATAAACTAGAATTAAGGGAAACAGAACATTTGACTAGATAAAATAAGGATAAAAGGAAACTGTTAAAAAGACACCATAAGAACAAACTGACACATTATCTCTTCTTTAACTGAGGTACACAAGTCATGGAATCCATTCCGGCTGATCCAGTCCTGGACTCCGCTCCTCCTCCTCCGATACGCTCCAGTCCCAGATCCATCCAAGGATGAAGACTACGCTGATGTTAAAACTGCTGCTGAAACACGACACCATAAGCCAGAGAGAGATGATGAACTAATGCAACATTAAAGAGCTACAGAAGCACTGTTCTGCTCCGGTAACAGTAATGCAACACATCGTATTGCCCAGTCATGGAAATGCCAATTATAAAAGGAATATTTGGTATTTGGAACATTGTTGAGGCGACGGGTCACGTGACAGCCTCACATGCAATTGGAGCAGTTTGGAGCGTTTATCAAAGGATGCCATAATGACTTAAAGACAGCTGAGTAGCAAACCAGCTCAAACAACAACTCCACTTTGGAGACCTGCAAGATTTCTACAATCTCAACAAAATACTTCACTCTAGTTTCACAAGAAAGTAGGCTGGAGCACAGAATGGACTCAGTACAGCGATGTCATCATTGGAGAATTGCAGGCCAATCACAACATGTTTGCATTCAAGAACAGATCATGTAGAGCTCTCCAAGTTCACACGATCATCACCTTATGGTCACAGCGGTCTGAAATAAAGTTCATCGGAAAAGAACATGTTCTGAGCGGGACAAGGCCAGAAACTGCTGTTGGAACAAAGATGCCGAATTTCACAGCGTCTTAGTGACAGACGAGAGAACCTGCAAGCTGAAGATTCACACAAAGAGGACAAAAGTGAGAAAACAGCCATCAAAAACTCTGTTCTGAGCCGTCACAGTACGAGAAAACGGACAGTACAGTGGACAAAGGTGGACATTGGTACACAGAGATTGTCTGGACAGATCCAAAACAGATCCAAATGGACTGAGCTGGAGGGGGCGGGACGGACGCCAGTGACAGGAAACAGCTGGGACACACACACACACACACACACAGACCTTTAGGTACATGCAGACAGACTCGTTACTCTGCACAATACACAATTCTGATGGACAGGATGCAACAAGTTTTAATTATTATGGAAGAGGGACAGTGGAAGAAAAAAAAAAGAGAGAGAACTATTGCAACATATTATCTGGACAAGGAGGCTGTGCTGTTGTTTTGTTTCTTCTTCTCCTTCTCTGATCTTAGCTGTACCGAGGGGGAAGTATACACATGGCGAAGCAAAGCCAAGTGATTTGCAAACGGATGGATTTGGGGATAAAGTCCACCCGGAGTTGGCTGACTGACAACAGGCCCGTAAGTTGGAATCTGAGAACACTGTACAGTAAAGAGCAAAAAGTCCTGCTCAGGTTAAAAGAACCATTGAACTAGTTCCTGTAACATCTTTTTACACACCGTGGTTAAAACAATAAACTGTGACCTCATGTCTGAGGTGCAAACTGAATGAGAGTCTATAGCTGTAGTTCACACAAAGTTTGATTTGATGTGTGAAATAATATTTACAAATATTAAACATGTTTTCTTTTGTTCACTGCTGCAGGCTGCAGTGACCTGTACGCACCCACATTTTCACAAAAGATTGTGATGAAGGCCGACCAGCAGAGCGACAGAGTGCTGGTAAATGCATTAGTGCAGCCGCGAGCACTACAGGTTTAAAGATTTCACATTATTGGCTACATCACAGACCACACATTTCTCTGTTGGTGATTTGACAAAGGTCTGTTTTTAAAATGTTACATTTCCCGCGCGGCTGGTCGGTTTCCGTTCTGCAGTCCATCACACGAAGCGTGCTGAGATGACCATTGTGTTGCTAAAGCGGTTCGCCCACAATGGCCACACACAAGGCTGTCTGTCTGTCTCTAACTGCAATTCCAATAGACAGAATAACTTCTCTGGGAATGTGATCAGGATGAGAGTAAAGCTCTCTCTCCCAGTGCATACAAGCCAAAACCAATCACCATAAAGAGGTGATGATGATTTTATGGACAAGGGATCCCATTACTGAAACAAGAGAAAGCTTTCTCCCATGATTCATGGTAAACTAACAGTGCACTTGACTGACTTGAACTGACGAAGCTGAGCTGACAGAGCCTCACTGACTGAAATGGTTCTCTATAGTCTGCCTGTACTCGGGGACGACAAAGACCTGACCTGCGTTCTTACTTGACTTGACCGCAGGACGATCACATGACCTGTTCTGACGCTACATCTTGGAAGCGAACCGGATGCCTGGTGCTTATTGTCGTGTTGCTTGCTGTGTCTGTTGCTTTATGTCACGCTGGATGTTTCTTTGTGAGCTGCTGCCGTGTTGATGATAAAATGTGATGCACGCTAACAGACTGACCCCATTTCTACAGGAAAAGAATGCCGCCTGCTCGTTCCTTGTTGTTTGATGTTATTGTTTAAATCCCTTTTTTTTAGCATGGTCAGAGTTTTGCCCATGCGCTCTCCTCCACAGAGAAAAGGGGGAACTGAATGCAAAACTATGGATGTGTGTGAGGTGTGTTATCAGACAGCCTGGAAGCTCAGAGGCTGTTTCACACACACAGAGCAGAGTGTCACCCAGAAGAACCATGTGACCACCTGATGAGGGAGCTTTTTAGCTAAACCCAAGCAAAGGCAATAAGTGCTGTTGATGATAGTTGACATGTTTCCAAAATGGACAGACATCAGTGTTACTACAGAAACATGGTGACAGACTGAGACCAGTCGCTTTTTCTTTCAGCAAAACTGGATCCAGTGGCTGCAGGGTCACCACGTTGTCATGGCATCACGTCACATTGTTGGTTATTCTGATTTAACCCTTTGGTCCCTCATGCGGTTTCTATGATCTTGCTTGAACAGAAGACCTCTCATCTCTCCACAGCACGTTGGCTCCGATACACCACTGTTCTATTGGATATGCCTAACATCGCTGTCAAACGCTGTAATGTTGTTGTGTAATGTTAAATCCTGCAACTTTGCTCCCCATTCCAGGAGACGGAGAAGATCATAACTGTGTTGCTGTGCTTGAGCAGGTTTGCACTCCACGTCCAGATCTGTCTGAAACACCTCTAACTAACCCAGACCTGATTCTCTTTGATGACGGGTCTGCTTCACGCAATGTTAACACAGGAAAAAATCAAGTTGTCAGCACGAGACACTGAAATCTGGCCCCTTGCCATCTCATTATTCAGCTCAAGCAGCTGAGTTGGTTGCACTCACTGAAGCTTGTAAACTGGCCAAAGACAAATCAGTAACTATTTACACAGATTCTCAATATGCATTTGCAACCGTGCATTAAAATCTGATGGTAAGCCTATTCTGCATCATGATAAAATAGCTGCATTGCTTGAAGCAGTGATGTTGCCGTCTGCTATTTCTGTATGCAAATGCCCATACTGATGCAAAAGACTTTGTTTCTACAGGTAACGCCAAAGCTGATGCAGCTGCCCGCACCGCAGCTCAACAGGGCCTGACACACACACACACCCCTGCACGCAGACACAGACACAGATATTCCTCTGACATTGCATGCTATGCAACAGTTTGCTCCATCAGATGAGAAGCGCACATGGCAACAGGCTGGTTGTAAATATGCTGATGGATTGTGGACTGGTCCCAATGACAAACCATGTTGACCCAAACATTTTTTCCACATTACGCTAAATTGACACATGGGTTGCATCATGTGTCAAAGGGAGGGATGTTCGATCAACTAAAGCAACACTGGTTCATGAAAGCTTTCACAACATACGCTCACAACTTTTGCCAAACGTGCTCAATCTGCCTAACACACAACACAGGGAGAGGATTGAGGGTTCCCTTAGCGGCACACCCAACGCCAGATAAACCATCTGATCACCTGATGATGGACTTTATTGAGCTTAACCCGAGTCAAGGCAAAAGGTTCTGTTTGGTCATAGTTGATATGTTTTCCAAATGGATGGAGGTTTTTCCAACTTCAAAACAAGACGGTGCAGCTGGAGCTAAAGCCCTGATTTCTGAGATCTTGCCGCGCTGGGGCGTGCCTTCTAAAATCAGCAGTGACAACGGCACACCTTTTGTAATAACTTGGCTCTTATATGGGCATTGATTTGAGACAACATTGTTCCTTCCACCCAGCGAGCGGTGGAGCAGTAGAAAAAGAGAATGGAACATTAAAAGCTAAGCTAGCTAAATGTTGTGAAGACACAGGTCTTCCATGGACAAAGGCGTTGCCGTTGGTGTTGATGTACATGAGAACGAGGGTAAGAACTAGGTCAGGTTTGAGCCCGTTTGAGATTCTTTTTGGGCGCCCTCCACGAACAGGGATAGAGGCAGCGAGCAGAGTACCGCCTGACACACATCACTGTGAGAATGATTGAATGACTTTGTCCTCTGCTCTTGCCCGTCTACATCAGCAGGTTAAAGAGGCCCTACCCTCTCCAGCGACAGAACCACTGCACAGTCTCCTAGAGTCTCCTTTTGTGGTGGTTAAGGACTTCAGAAGAAAGCACTGGAAGGCGCAGAGGTGGAAAGGTGCTCCTGACAACATACACAGCGGTAAAAGTGGCTGAAAGAGCTACGTGGATTCACGCCAGCCACTGCAGGAAGGAGCCTGCACCAGTACAACAACAGATCAACAAGCGTGCACAATCAGCACCTCGTGCTGTGAGTGAAGGAGGGATTGGGAACGCTTAGGCTCCCTTTGTCTCGGACTCACAGGCTGTTAGACAGCAAACATCAGCACAAGGGAGCTAGTGGGAAAACTCCTGGTCTCACCACTGCTGATTTAAGTGACGCCGCAAAACATTAAGAGTGGGTAGCATGGTTGTCTCTGGAAGGAGACGTCATGGGACCCAGTCAGACACCCAGACATGTGTGGCCTACGAGGAGCAACAGAGATGTTTGCTGCCATTGCAACAGCATGAACAGTGCCTCTGTTGCAGTTCTTAGATCACAAGCGTGATGCACAAAAGCCACCACAACAGAACACCACAGTGAACTACAGGCATTGACATCAAATAGCAGTGTTGGAGGCAAGAGAAGCACCCAAAGAGGCTGGGATGCTGGGCTAATGTTTAATAACTCCTGCTGTATGTTTGTGCCCAACAATACAGCTCCAGATGGTTCGGTGAACCCAGTGCTGGAAGGACTGCGTTCCCTACGAGAAGAACTTGCAGAGAACTCTGAAGTGGACACTAACATGTTCGACCGGTCAGATTCTGTGTTTGCTAAATAAAAGGCCTTAGTGATGCCCACACTAGCAGGTCTAATGATTGCTGTAGCTCTCTGTGGATGTTGCATCATTCCATGTGCCAGAGGTCTGATTGTAGGAGCTATTGAGAAAAGTGTCTCCATTCAAATGATCACACTCGTCTGGATTGGAATCTTTTTCATTCATCTCACATTTCAGAAGACTCACTAAAGGACAAATTTCCATTACACCAGTCATGTAAGGATTTCCATAAACTTTAGTCACAAACATAAAAAATGTGCTCTGTTGTTTCTACATTTGTGTTGCATAGGTGACAGTTTTCTACATCACATTTCAATCTTAAACTGCATTTCTTTGTTTTTAGGAAGAAGTGGAAATTAAAGATATTTTGTTCTAATAGCTGATATTTCAGGGTTTGAAGTTCTCCTTGTGAAGCCAGGTTACATTGTATTCTACAGATGTTGCCTCAGGAAGGCATTGTTACATTTTTGGTTTAAAAAGTCAACTTGGCCTATCTTTATATTTTGGACTTTGGAGGTCGGTGTGTTTTCTACATTATTTTTAATTAACTGAATAAGAGCCATTGGAATGTTTTATGACACCTTCAGCAATCCAGATTATATCCAACTTTATATATATCCAACAATTGACCATATTTGTTTCTCCATCCAGTTGTCCATAAATATAGATTTTCTTTTGCACAACATGAATCTATTGTTCCATAGCAGAACGTTCTGTGGACTAAAATTATGTTTAGAAATCATAGATATATCATATCTTAGAAAAATACAGCATAACTCTTTTTACATTATAGTTAGTGTCGGACTTCAGTTAGAGCGAGTCCTATTCTGCGCTGTGATTGGCCAGCTGTGTATTCAGTTGCATGTGTTCCAATCAGCTCATGTGATGCTGCTCAGCCAATCAAATCTGTCCATTCCGATAAGCATTGCGAGCAGAGTCCACGAGTGAGATACACAGAGGAAGAGAGGAGACGAAAGAGAAAGAGACTTCACACGGCTTTTAACCAAGAATGTACAGATTCTCACATGTACATTCTTCCTACGGGCAGTTCAAAACCAGAATGTATCTCCAATCCAGGCCAGAGCTCACGTTTCTCACTGAACAAGAGAAAGTAGGGAAGTGGTAGCTTTATAAGAGGGAATGAAAGAGGAGAGGAGGTATTAAAGAGGGGGTATTCTCCTGGTATGCTCCTCTTTTCACCCTGTGTCGAAGGCTTCGTTTTAGCTATGGAGTGATGCATCTTGTCTCTAAATGATCTTTGTTGGGAGTTGCACATGCTCAGTTCCTAGTTAAGGACTACTAGCCAATCAGAAGCAGAGAAGGGCGGGTCGGCGAGAAGCCGGTAAACAGCTCGGGTTCAGCTGTACGTGTTGCCGACCGGCTCTGCAACACGGACTGGAGCGAGAGTTTCAGAGCGGTGAGTTATTAATCTGTATCCATAAAGTTTTAACTGAGCTCTGTCTCTACATCACAGGAACAACTTTCTGTCCACTGCCTGGAGGGTAGCGAGTGTTTGGAAGGGAGAGGAGAGCTGTGTGCTGCAGCTCGCTGTTTCTGAGGGCGTGTCCGAGTCGCCGCTTGGCGAGCGTTATATGAGGCGCGTTTAGCTTTCATCCCTGTGACGTCACAGGGATGTTTGTTAAGATGTGTTGAGTGTTAATTATAATTTTGGTTGAGACTACACTTTGATCACTCAAAGCTACACTTTAGTTAATTTTGTTTTTCTGAAATGAATTGAGCAACAAATAAAATTAATTTATATTAAGATGCACATTTACAAAAACGTTTTTTAAATTTAGACTTTAGATTACTTAAATTTAGAATTTATTATTAGTTATTTATTATCGCTTCAGTTTTATGTAAAAACTGACAGTAAATATGTTATATATGTGATACAGCTAGGCCATACGTTGTGATAGCTACTGAATGATAAAGCAAGTTGATGTTCCGGATGTTTGCTTGGTGAAATTTCTCTAACTGGACCTCTTTGAATCAATATTATGTTGCATGCAGTACTGGAGGCTGCAGTTTCAGGACCCCCGCAATCCCAGGGCCTCAGTTATTTTGCGACAGCGCCATCTAGTGGAGTGGTGGTGGTAATCCACAGCAACATGAAGGAGGTTAACGCTGTCTGCTAGCACGTTGGCCGTGAGGCTGATGTCCAGAGCTGTAGGGTTAACCGGTCGACATATAATTAATAACTTAAATTTAGGCAGACACTCTGTGATGGTTGTGGTAAGGGTAATTGGCTTCGGTGGACTGTCAAGTGTAACAAAGCCAGCTGGCAGTATCAAAGTAAACAAGGGTCCTGAAACTGCAGCCTCCGGTACTGCAGCTACATACTATATACACAATATTTCCTAAAATTAATATAAGATTTTAGGAAATATTGACTCCACTCAAATGATTTCTTTGGAAATGGCAGCTCAGAGATGGGTTTAAAAATGATTTATAACAACAGGATGTAGAGAGAGCTTAACGACAAGGAACACTAACGAACCAGCGGTATCGATGACCCGGGCCAACGACCCCACTGAGGTTAAATAGCTGAGTTTCCCTGCCAGTCAGTCAGAACTGAAGAAGTCCTTCGGATGAGGGACGAAACGTCTTCCAGTATCTTCAACCAAGTCCAGTTGCCCTTGATTTTAACCTTCGTTGGATAATAAGGCATGTAGTTTAAGCTAACTTTAGCATGCAGCTATAAAATAAGACATGTCGTTTAAAATAAGGCATGTAGTTTAAAATAAGGCATGTACTTTAAGCTAACATTAGCATGCAGCTATAAAATAAGGCATGTCGTGTAAGCTAACATTAGCATGCAGATATAAAATAAGGCATGTAGTTTAAGCTAACATTAGCATGCAGATATAAAATAAGGCATGTCGTGTAAGCTAACATTAGCATGCAGCTATAAAATAAGGCATGTCGTGTAAGCTAACATTAGCACTTGGATTTTTAGAGCAGCTTGAATAATGTCTTAGGGTGTTTTCTCTCAACCTGGACATTAGAAATTGGTCCAAGAGATGGCTGCAGTGGCAGCGTGAAACAAGCTACAATGTAACATTAATATGCCGCTGCACACCTTCAGTTTCCATCCATAACGTGCTTGTTTTGCCACTGACACGCTCAGATAATTATTCTTAGTGTCTGACAACATTATGGAAAGGATCCCAGCTGAGGTCAAGCTTTTGTTAAAGAGTAAGATCCGTTTTGTTTTAACATGAAACATCCCTGAAATCGCCAAACCCACCAGACTCTATTCAAATTAACTGTCATTTTATCGTCATAAAATACACATTTAAAGTCGACAGGAACAAGATAAAACCTTCACAAACCATCTTAGTTGTCTAAGAAAATAAGAAATGTACTGAAGTATAAAGGGTAGCTGTATTAGGAGTGCAAATTACAATGTGATGTCCAATCTCGCATTCATGAGGTATATATAACTTATAGCTCTAATAAAGGCCTATAATTGTCTTATAAGCAATAATTAATCAATTAATAGTTTATTAGGCTTTAATTAACACTTATGTTGTTTATAAGCATCCTATAAGGTCTTATAAGTGTCTTATTAACTGTTAATTACTGCCTATTACAAGCACCTTAAAATAAAGTGTTACCTACGTCTCATTTACAGAAAATAAAGCAAAAACTTTCACATCCTGTAGAATTTACTGGTAAGGTAGGAAGTGGAACAGAGAGAAGTGAAAATCCAGAGCTGCGAGGAGACGGAGAGATTGAGGGAGGAGCTAAGCTGTTAGTGAACTATAGAAGAGAGAGGAACTTCCATATTCAGCAGAGTTCAATACACAAAGCAGAAACATTCCCTTTATTCAACATGCTGTCATTGGACTATTATGTACTTTCTCTACTGTTACTATCCATTCTAACAGGTATGTGAGATCCTGCTGAGAAAGTTTCATTACTAACTTTTCTGGATGGGATTCATTTGTTGAGTCTTTTACAACATGAAATAACAGAGTTATCTCTTCCTTCAGGTGTCAGCTGTGAAGAACTCACTGCAGTCAGGAATGAAGAGTTCACTTTAGAAGGCAGCTCTGTTACTCTGTCCTACACATACTCTAAAAAAGCAACTGGTCAAGATCGATTCTTCTGGTATCGACAATATCCAGGAAAACCACCAAAGTTCCTTATTTCACACTCAGGAACAGGACTACTGACATCAGATTCCGTCCCTAGACTATCTTTTAAAGTGAGTGTTGATAAAACCCAAATGGATCTGCAGATCTCCTCTGCTGCAGTGACAGACTCTGCTGTGTACTACTGTGCTCTGCAGCCCACAGTGACAGGAAACACCAAAACTCTGTACAAAAACCTTTGGAGCAAAGACAACAGAATACTCCACAACGTCCACTAGAGGGAGTCACACACTGTTAAACTTTCAGAGAGAATCACAGAAACAAATCCTTCAACTTCTAAAAGCTGAGAGACAAACACCAAGGACGTCCTCTCTCTCCACTGCTGTTTTATTCCTAAAATATAAACTGGTTTATACAACCTGACATTTTGGCTCTGAGGACAAACAAGAAATGACTAATTAATCACTTTTATTCACATATTCCTCCGTATATTTTCTGTGTTGCTGAATGATGTTCAAAATGTAACAGAACAGTTTTTAACTAATCTCTCATCAGTTACCAACATCTGTCACAAACAGTCCAAGCATGGAGACAGGAACAGAAGAGATGAACCAATCCAGAGCCACATCACTGAGGCCAGCAGAGTTCTTCAGACGGATAATTTAGACCGGAGGTCACTAATAGGTGCGACCGCGATCTGGATCAGGACATACGGCCCATCTGTTATTGAGAATTACTACCTCGTGACGGAGTGCGAGTCGAACTCGAGTGAGATGCAGAGAGGAAGAGAGGAGACGAAAGAGAAAAGAGACTTCACACGGCTTTTAACCAAGAATGTACAGATTCTCACATGTACATTCTTCCTGCGGGCAGTTCAAAACCAGAATCTCTCATGTATCTCCAATCCAGGCCAGAGCTCACGTTTCTCACAGAACAAGAGAAAGTAGGGAAGAGGTAGCTTTATAAGAGGGAATATCAAAGAGGTGGTATTCTGATCATTTTCAGGTTCATAATCTTATATAGAGGTTGTACCAGAACAGGTTTACATGGTTCTATTTTCATCATGCTGCACACTGCTGCAGCTCCTCTTTCCACCCTGTGTTGAACGCTTCATTTTAGCGATGGAGCGATGCCATAGACTGTAAAACAGAAGTGGACGTAGTCATGGTGACGTCACCCGTTAGTTTGTGGACTGGTGTTTTGGAGCCTCGAGTTTGGCTGATAGGGCGCCGCCATGTGGAGTTTTTGCAACCACCGCCGCCGGACGTGACCATACTTGGACGAGACGGT